ACTACAACTACTACTACTACAACTACTACTACTACTACTACTAATAAAAATTAAAATAAGCAAGATAATAATACTTCTACTTCTACTTCTACTACTACCACTGCTGCTACTACTACTACTACTACTACTACTACGACTGCTACGACTGCTACTACTACTACTACTACTACTACTACTACTACTACTACTACTACTACTATACTACGCTCTCCTCCTTCTTATTCATCCTCCTCCTCCTTCTTTCCTTTCTCCTGCTCCTCCTCCTCATCCTCCTCCTCCTCGCGCCGCCCTCGCAGGTTTGCTGAAGGAAGGCCAGCACTCGTCCCCTTGGCACGGCGGACTTGCGGGGGCACCCCAGCCGCCTGCGGTCCCGAAGGGAAGCACCCGGTCGCCTTGGGCACCGAGCTGGCAAGGCAACGCCAGCGTCTTCCCCCGCGCGCCGATCAAGTAGTTGACCCAGTGCATGATGGAGCACCAGGGGCACGAGGGGGTAGTCCAGCGCTCAGCGAGGTGCGAGCCCGCCTCGAACATGTCGTCCCTCCAGACTTCGTGTTCCGTGTTCCGTCCGCGCCGTCGCTTGCCCCCCGTCGTTCAAGCAGACCAGAAACGCCAGCGACGTCGCCCGAAGGCGCCTCTGCGACTGTGCGCCACGGGCGGACAAGAGGGACCCCGCCCACTTGCAGCGCGGGGTCCCCTTGGGCACCGCGCTGGCATAGCAGCGCTGGCGTATCCCCGCGCGCGGTCTGAAGTCGGCCCCCCCCGCGCCGGAAGCGGCAGCCGGCGCACGGAGGTCGCAGCCCAGGGTCGGCAGGGCGCGGGCCCGCTCGGGAAGAGCCGCCCCCCCCCGCGGAGCTGTGCGTCGCGTTTCGCGCCACTGCGGCCGGGAATTGTTGCACCAGCGTGTCGCGGCGGCGGCCCCAGCGACATGCTGCGCCCTGCAAGTAGGTAGCGCGTCGCTCCGCTCCGCGGGGGCGGGAGGATCGGGGAAGCTCGGGACGTTGACCTCTGGGAGTGGGGACGTGGATAGCGAGTCGCGCCGAAACTTGGTGCGCCAGAACCTGCGGCTCGACACGGTTAAGCCAAAGTTCCTGCAGCCTGTCTTTTTAGTATTCGCGATAACTGGCGTGATCGGGGATGGGGGAGTCCCCCCCCCATCACATCGCGGCGGAGTGCCGCTGTGAGCACCGAAGCACCCCTGTGCGCACCGCCAAGGCCTTCGAGCACGACAGCGCGCCAAAGAGCACCACAATGATTATGTTGCTCCCATCGTACTTAAGAACCACATCCCAGAAATAATTTCGAGCACCCGGAAAAGGGTCGAAAGAGTGTCGGAACAGTGTCGGATGAGTGTCCCCCAGGACACGACAAGTGAAAACTCCAGAGTTTCGGCACTTGTTCGGTGCTCGAAATTCGATCAAGGCGAAAAGTAGGTTAGAACATCATAACACAATGACCACAGGGCGGCGCACGAATGAAAGCAGCGCAACATGCTTGCGAGGTGACCGGGGGCTGACGACTGAACCGGAGACTCGTCGCCGCCGGCCTCTGGGAGCCCCTAAGAACTTCCAGAGGCCTCTGCATGGGAGCTCTACGGCTCCCCCCCGGATGCACCAACATCGCAGACGACGAAATGTGCAGAAATATGCACTCCCCCTCCTCCTCCTCCTCCTCCTCCTCCTCCTCCTCCTCCTCCTCCTCCTCCTCCTCCTCCTCCTCCTCCTCCCTTCTCCTCCTCGTTCCTCCCTCGTTTCCCTGTTCTTTCTCTCTCTCTCTCTCTCTCCCACCCGTTCCTCTCCCCCGAGATCGTGGTCAAGGCTCCAAGAGGATGTCGAAAAGGGTGTTTGTTTTCGCGTATTCGGCCTCCTGGACGCGAACGACAACAACGACGACGACGACGAATTCTTAGGAACCTTTAGGATCCGAGAAGAAATCCTCACAAATGTGGGCAACATAGCGTGAGGTGATCCAAGGGGGGGGGGAAAGGCAGAGGGCCGATCACTGCCGTTATTGCCCAGACCTTGAGAAAAGAGGCTCCTGACCGTACAGTAAGGGCGTCGACCTGAGGGAACCCTTGATAAGGAACGAGGCCCGTTTGTCCCACATGATCACGTCGATCTCCCATGGAAAACCTCCCGAAAACCTGAGGCGAACTGCAAAACAACTAAGGAACACTGAGCCCCTCCCCCACGCAAAGGGTTCCCTCTTCAGCGCCCCGACCGCATATCCCCCACACCCAGCTGGAGGCCAGGGCCGTCGCCCGTAGGCGCCCGTATGGCCAGGCAGGGCAGGCTTGCGGAGGCCCCCTAGCCACCTGCGGAAAAAGCGGGCGCCTTGGGCACCGAGATGGCGAAGCAGCGCAGTGCGGCGGTTACGATCGCCCCTTTCGATGTCTTCCGTGTTTTCGACGCATGGCTGTCCAGGCGGTCGGCCGGCTACTTGTCGTAGCCCACCCTGTTTACCCGCTGGTGTCCACATGAAGTGGTGTTCTAGTCTGTCTGGTTGGACCATGTGCCCGCGCAGCGGAAGAGGGACATCCTCTACCCCTGGCCGAGTTGGCTAAGCCACTGAACATCGATCGCGTGGAGCCACCTGGTACGTGAGGGCAGGAGAGATTGGTTTTCGGGCCGCCCGCTGCTGCTTCCTCCTCCTCCTCCTCCTCCTCTTCCTCCTCCTCCTCGTATTATGTATCCTCCTCAATTTCCTCAACGTCTTCTTCACTTCCCTGCTTCCTCCTGCTCCTTTTACTCATCATCCCTTGCTTCCTCTCCTCTCCCTCTCTCTGAGAGAGCGCGCTTCGCCGGCGATTGCCTTGAAAACAAAGCGAAAGGCCCCCCCGCTACCTGAAATAACCCCCCCATTCGTCTCCGCCGCAAAGACCTTGTATAACAGGACCCCCCAGTGGTCTGCTGCTCTGCACATACGTCACGCCCTGCCTACTGCGCCCGCCCACCACTCGGGAGAACCACAAGGCACTCCTACCGCTGCTCCCCAGACCTCTCCGGGGATGTGCTCTGACCAGAGCTTCGACGCGAACCGAGCCGTGGCGACGAGGGCACCCCGGGAGGCCACAGAGATCTAAACGATAGAAAGAAAAGGTGGCGGTACCGGTATTTTTAATTTTTCGTCGAAAATCCCCCTGTAGGGGGACACGCCCGACATAAGGCTAGGATGCCCAGTATGCCCCAGGCAATGAAGAAACACGCTCTTGCCACGTCTTGGGGGCGTATCTTCTACCTTCGCCGCCTTCCGCCGCCCTTTTCCCTTGACCTCCCCCTCCTCATCCGTCCTCTCCCCTCGGCCTGCCCAAGATCTGTCCTCGGGCTCACACGTGCCCTTCGACGGCGCGCCGCCTGACAGCGTGGAGGGGGGGAGGAGGGGAGATGCGATGGAGGGGGGACGAATATGCTCGAAGTGATTTGAAGGTGTTCGACTGGCTCCAAACGTCTTCAGTGGTATCGGAATGCTTGTTGTGGAGGGTCGAGGGAGAAGCAGCAGCAGCAGGAGGAGCAGGTGGAGGACGAGGTTCGACGAAAGAGGGATAGGGAGGACGTGGAGGGGGGAGAGGGGGATAGCATGGTGACAACCAGGAAAGGGAGGAGGATAATAAGGAGGGAGGAGGGGATAGCGTGGTGGTAGTCAGGAGAAGAGATGGGGAGGGGGGAAGGGACAGGGGGACAGCTTGGTGACAATGTTTGAAAGGAGGGGGAGGAGGAGGAGGAGGAGGAGGAGGAGGAGGAGGAGGAGGAGGAGGAGGACCAAGCAAGGGGACTCACGCTGACTACCTTCAAGGCTCGTTCCCTTGACGGAATCGTCTCGACGACGCTTCCGACCCCTCCATTGGCATCGTATATGAAGTGTCTCTGGACGGAACTGACGGAACTCCTCTGGGTGTCCGAATTCATATGCCAGCCGCCGTGTCGCGAGGCACTGAAGGGAACGTCATCAAATCGTCATACCCCAAAAAGAGGCATCGACATTGAGCCTTGTACTGTTACCTGGCGGGTTCCTGAAACCCTGAGCCCCAAAAAAATTGGAGCGCGTTTCATTATGTTCGGCGATAATTGGCATTGTAGGGGGGGGGAGGGGCCCGGGAGGGGGTCTGACGTAACGCCTCCCCCCCGCCGTGCGCACGGCGGCAGTGCTCGGAGCGCACTGGGGGGGGGGAGGGGCGTTAGGTCAAAAGGGTGGGGGGGAGGGGGGGCCGGGGGCTAGGATGCCCAGTATGCCACAAGCAATGAAGAAACTGTTTTGATCCGCGGGTCGAGAGCGCACCTCTTCCGGTCGAAGCTAAGCGGGCCGCGCGCAGCTTGAATTTACAAAGGGGGGGAGGCAGAAGGAGGGGCCTCACGTCAAGGCCAGGAGGGGGCAAAGCTCCGGAATCAGGCGGTGCCGAAGACGATGTGCTTGCAAAGGAACGCCTTGTACAAGAACCCGGCGGCGAAATACCGGATGGTCGGCCACACGCAAGAGTGACCCTGGGTAAGAGTGACCCTTGGTGCGCGGCTCTTGGGGGGCCGCGGGGGGGGGGGGGGGGAGGGGTGGGGGGGGGGGGGGGGGGGGGGGGGCCAAAAACGCCGCGCGTCGCGATTGTCATCTGGTGATCGGGAGACCCCACTGTGCCCGCACCAACAGGTCACTCCGGCGAAAGGTCACCCTTTTGGACGCCCGAAATGGGTACGGAAAAAATTGAAACAATGCCCAACAACAAATGTCGTTCCAAACCAACAGCGGTCGCTGTTGGGCAGGCGGCCTTCTGTCTCAAGTGGACACAGGCCGCGGCGGCGCGGACAGCGAATTCTGTTCAAAATGCACAGGAAATGCTGTTGGGCATGGTGTCCATTCTTTCTGTACCCATACCGTGCGTGCCGAACCCTCACGTGAGGGGGCCACATGCGAACCCTGCCCCTACCCCCCACGATTTCTGAGGGGGAGGGTGGGGTTCATTTCGTTCGGGGGACGAAATGAACCCCCCCCCTCCCCCTCAGAAACCGTGGGGGGTAGGGGCAGGGTTCGCACGTGGCCCCCTAGACGTGCAGTCGAGAAGGGGGGCGGGGGCAGTCCGCCAACCTGTCCTGGGGCCTCTCCCACGCTGCCCCGCCAACGGGCCATCGCCGGGGCGCTCGCCAAGGAGTGCGCGGCGCGGGGCCCCCGCGGGAGCTCCCGCGGGGCGCGGCGCGCGGCGCCCTCCCAGGGGCCCCGGGCGCACTTCTTGCCCCGGTCTCGGGCAGCCGGATCCTGACCTTCCAGGAGGGCCAACAAAGGGCACGCGGCTTATAAAGCCCTATCCCAGGAGCTATTCTACGTTTTGGTTTGAGGCTGCTTCGCTTCGTGTTGTTGGGTTTGTAGGCCTCCCGTGCTAAAAAAAAGCTCTCTGAAGGTCAGGGTTGTCCTGGCCTCGGGCAGCCGGATCGCGGCACGGCGGCCCCCAGGGGGGGGGGGGGGCTCGCTGCCCGCCCCGGAGGACAAAGGGGGGCCCTCGCGGGGCCGCAGCTGCCGCTCCAGGGGCCGCCCCAAGAGATCAGGAGCGCTGCAAGCCGTGAGGCGGTGGCGTCGGCCTGGCGGTGCCGCACAGTCGGTCACGGAGAGGGCGCAGGGCGGCCCGGGGGGCGCCCAAGATCGCTCCCATGGAGGAGGAGAAAGAGCTGTGCACATACACCCGTCTCTGGCCGGGCCCATCCTGAGCCCAAGGGGCTCGGTGCACACGCCCTCCGACCTTGGCCGGGAAGGCACATGCGCCGATCCTGGGTCGAGGATGGGCCTTGCCACCAGGATCGGTGTGTGTGTGTGTTGTGTGTGTGTTGTGTGTTGTGTGTTGTGTGTTGTGTGTTGTGTGTTGTGTGTTGTGTGTTGTGTGTTGTGTGTTGTGTGTTGTGTGTTGTGTGTTGTGTGTTGTGTGTTGTGTGTTTTGTGTGTTTTGTGTGTTTTGTGTGTTTTGTGTGTTGTGTGTGTTGTGTGTGTTGTGTGTGTTGTGTGTGTTGTGTGTGTTGTGTGTGTTGTGTGTGTTGTGTGTGTTGTGTGTGTTGTGTGTGTTGTGTGTGTTGTGTGTGTTGTGTGTGTTGTGTGTGTTGTGTGTGTTGTGTGTGGTGTGTGTGTTGTGTGTGTTGTGTGTGTTGTGTGTGTTGTGTGTGTTGTGTGTGTTGTGTGTGTTGTGTGTGTTGTGTGTGTTGTGTGTGTTGTGTGTGTTGTGTGTGTTGTGTGTGTTGTGTGTGTTGTGTGTGTTGTGTGTGTGGTGTGTGTGTTGTGTGTGTGTTGTGTGTGTTGTGTGTGTTGTGTGTGTTGTGTGTGTGTTGTGTGTGTGTTGTGTGTTGTGTGGGTGTGTGTGTGTGTGGTGTGTGGTGTTGTGTGTGTGTGTGTGGGTGTGTGTGTGTGTGGTTTGTGTTGTGGTGTGTGTGTGTGTGTGTGTGTGGGTGTGTGTGTGTGGTGTGTGTGTGTGTGTGTGTGTTGTGTGTGTGTGTGTGTGTGTGTGGTGTGTGTGGTGTGTGTGTGTGTGGTGTGTGTGTGTGTGGTGTGTGTGTGTGGGGTGTGTGTGTGTGTGGTGTGTGCGTGCGTGCGTGCGTGCGTGCGTGCGTGCGTGCGTGCGTGCGTGTGTGTGTGTGTGTGTGCACAATTCTCTTCGCCCGATTCGAGGCGGCGGCCGAGGCGCCGAGAGCAAAATTGCTCACAGGAGGCCCCCACCGGGTGTGCCCAGAGGGGGGAGTGCGAGGCTGCCCTGCAGGCCCCCTCCGAACCGCTGTCTCTATGATTGCGGCAGTGCTGCGGTTAGGGTTTGCCTCGTGCTTGGCACGATGTGGTTCAGCAGTTGATTGATCATGCTCGTCTTCATCCGTTCATTCATCTTTAAGTGTATGCCTCATTCGATTATGAATGACTTCAGGCATATCCTTCTCATCGTTCTCCGAGCGCTTCTACACTATGATAATCGCTTCATTTCTCTAGCATACGCAACAGCGTCACATCCCAGCTGTTTGAAATTACAGCGAGCTAGTCCTGCTTCATTCGTGTGTGCGTGATTTGACCTCTGTGGCGACCTTACTTGATAATTGTTTACTGACAGCCTTCAGATCCCCCACAGTTGAAATCCTTGTGTAGCAGTCTTTACACATGGATTCCTCTTGTGGCAACTTCACAAAAATATGTTCGGTGTGGGGGATCTGCAGTGGCCTCCGCAACATCTGCTTGTAGCGGCCTGTAAATTGGATTTCTTGTGTGGCGATCCTGCAAACGGATTTCAATTGCGGGGGATCTGCAGCGGTGGCGCCTTGAGCCCAGGAATGCTAAAGATAAAAACCAGACACAACTGGAACAACAATAACAAGCATGTGCTCCCACATGAAAAATATAGAAAACTATAAAATCATGTGACTCTCCGTATTTCAACGTTGCTGATACCCAACACTGGAAGAAGCAGTTGTGCATCAGCCCTTACAACAGATCTCTGGTGTGGCGACTTCCCACAACAATTTTGATGGCGGTGCCTCTACAATGGCCGCCACACTTGTAACCCTTCCGTGGCAGTGTTTACACAAAAACCTTGTGCTGCGGCCATAGAATAAGCTTCTAAGCGTGGGGACGTGCAGTGGCCTGCAACCTTGAAATCCTTTCCTGTACCACATAGCACAATGAGACTATTGTGTGGCGGTCTTACGCAATTAATCCGTTTTGTTTGCGCAAGCTGCTGCAACAGGGACTTAACACTGGACACATTGCAGATCCCCCGTAATCAACATCCTTTGCAAGACCGCCACAAGAGGAATCCAGGCGTAAAGGCTATGACGTCCAAATGTGACAACACGTACACATGCCCCGCACCAAAAAACTTGTTGGACGGTCGCCAACACAACAACAAACTGTTGTGTGGTGCAAGGGCTGTTCCAACAGGGTTGCAAGCATGGGGAAACTGCACCATGAGAAAGCGATCACCACGAGTTGTCGTAGCTGTTTCATATGTTTACATGTGAAAGCACATGCTGTCTCTTGTGTTACATGCTGTTCGCTGGTTCCTGGTAAGCTTCGGCGGCCCCACGGAAATCTCCGTGGCCGTTCCGTGGGGCCGCGGAATCGAGCCAGGAAAACCATACAAGCATGAAAACATGTGTTTGGGGTTTGAGCACGTGTGATTTCGCATGCACATTGGATGAAGAACAAGCTGGGGGGATATGTGGTTGTCGTTATTGATATCGGCGTCCGACCTCCCGCCGCCCAAGGGGCCTGTGCTTTGCAAATGCTGCTACACATTGGTTTCAATCGCGGCAGCCGCTAGAAATGCCCCAGCATCAAAATCAGGTTCGAAGGTCATCTCGCAAGGCCTCCGCTCGCAAGGGCTACGGCAAAACGACTTCAAGTGTTGGGGATGTGCACACCATATACATACATACACATATATATAGAGAGATATACATAGCATCACACGTTGTCCTAACGCTGTCTCCTTTCTCCGTTTGACAGCTGCAAATCCCCACGCGTAAAATCATTGAGACATATTGCCACAGAAGGAATACGTGTGCAAGGGGCTGCTGCAAAAGGGTCTACATTGTGGCAACCACAACACATGCCCCACACTGAAAACTGCTCGAAAAACACCACACAAGGAATCCGTGTACACGGGTTGCCCCAAAAGAATTGCAAGCGCAGGTGGCTTGGACCATAAGAACAACGAGAGGCGCACAAGTTGTCCACGCTCTTCCGTTTCTTCCAAATGGATGGGACTGCATGATTGTTCGCGTGCTTCCTGTTCATCTGGGTTCCTGATAAGGTTCCGCGGCCCCACGGACACCTCAGTGGCGACTCTTTGAGGCCGCGGAAGCGTACCAAGAAAACGAAAAGACCTGGCACAGCCAACAAGTCTTGTATTTTCACATGGGGGGTGCAGAAAAGACTGGAAAGACCTGTGGCAGATCCCCCACGATTAATATTCAGTGTCGTAAGGTCGCCACACAAGGAATCACTGCGCCAATGCTGATACACAACACTTCAAGTGTGGCGGCCACTGCAGATGCCCTACAACAATATTATTCTGGAAAGCCGCCACCACAGGAATCCGTGTGTAAGGGCTCTTGCGCAAGGATTCCAAACGTGGGGGCCCCCACCATCACAATGACGAGGGCCACAGGTTGTCTTAGCTATGTGTTCATTACTTTCGATTTGCAGACGCACATTTGTTATGGTGTGTCATGGTTGCAGATGTTCCTGGTAAGCTTCCGCGGCCCCACAGCGCTGCCTCTGGAAACATCTTATCGCCAGAAGCAGTGTACACATTGAATGCAAAGTTACCCTTCCAGCGGTTTACATTATGCATCTGAGTTGGGACTTTCCATAGTCAGTGAGTTGTGGAGGATCTCGGCGGTGGCGCTGTGGGAGTCTTACAACTGAAATATGTTTGTCCATCTGCCTCTACCGAACTTAACGCGTAAGCCTCCTCAGCTTGACGCCTGGTATGAAAGCACGGAACAAGCGGCGCATGAACGTAACCAACCTAAACACACATCTGGTTTTGTGGATGCCACGACAATGGACACTCTGGCAGTCCGATGATTGAATTGAAGCTGTGTTTAAAATGTGTGCAGCATGTTCTGAACATGTGTTCCATTGTTTCAATGTTTGAAAATATCGTCTAGACATCTGGAACTTATTTGGCAGCATGCTTCCTCTCCATTGGTCGTCCTCCACCCATCTAGCTCTACTCGCACAAAGGGCAGGTCCTACGGCCGCCCCGCCCCCCCCCCCCCGGATGGAACAGGCCCCGCCGGAGGCCCCCCCGAGGCCCCCGGGAGACCCAAGAGATCCCAAAGGCCCCAAGGAGATGCCTCCAGAGCGCCCCCCCGAGAGAGTCCCCAGGAGCCCCATCTGGCTCACGACAGAGGCGAGGTGGAGGGATGGGGGGAAGGCCACAGAATGATTCACCTGAAAAAGGACCCCGAACCCTTTGGGAGGGGACCGAAGTTAGGAGGGCCAGGAACATTAGGGATGGGGGGTCTTCGTCTGCAAATCTGTCGAACCAAGCCGCCCAGATCTGGCATCCCTAATGGGAAGGCGGGGACCTCAATTAAGTGACGTCTTCATCGTGTCGTTCGTGTTAGGAGCCCCTTTATCCTCAGTGGCATCCTCTCCGACGCCTGCTCCTGCTTCCTCCAAGTGGCGCCTGGCGTGCCGAAACATGTCGGGGTCTGCGGGCCCTGCCTGCAACCGCCGCACGGGCCCGTCGGCCCACGCCGCCGCCCCCGCGCAGCATGCAAGAGCTGCCACGTGCTCTGGCCAGGATGGCCTACAGGATGCCTCCCCAACATCGTTGCTGAGTCTTGGGCTGACACTGGTCCTCCGCCCCCTCCTCCTCCTCCTCCTCCTCCTCCTCCTCCTCCTCCTCCTCCTCCTCCTCCTCCTCCTCCTCCTCCTCCTCCTCCTCCTCCTCCCCCTCCCCCCCTCCTCCTCCTCCTCCTCCTCCTCCTCCTCCCTCCTCCTCCTTCGCCTGACCAAGACGGCCAAGAAGAGGGCCCCATAAACAGACACTGCCGAGACGGCCCGAGGTGACGAGACTCTCGGCCGAAGAGGCCCCAGGACGGCCCTCAGAAGGGCCCGAGCACGACCCAAGATCCCTTTGACGTCCCGAGGGGGCCCCGAGAGGGCCCCCTGCGAGGCCCGCCAGGGACAAAAACTGGGAACGATCCGGGGACGCGGCCCATCCACAGAAGACGCAAGACAATGTTTCCTCCCTCCCCTCCCCCCCCTCTTTCCTTCCCTCCGCCCAATCAGTGTTTGAAGTCTGCTCACGTGGAGCTTCCATCTGGCCTCAAACGAGGACGCATTTGAAGTGCCCACCTGCACGGGAATTCAGTGTCCTACGCACCCCCGGGTGCATGACTGCGTTGTTGTTGTTGACAAGACCATGAGTGGGTCCGGGTGTGGGACAGCACTCCGCTGGACCCCCCAGGAGCCCCCGAAGGAGGCGGCAGTGGCGCAGCTGGCAGCGCCCAGACAGGCGAGGTCTCGTTTGGCCCGCGTGGGAGAGCACTCCGCTGGACCTCCCATCAACTCACGAGAGTGGCGGCAGCTGCGCAGCCGGCAGCCCCCAACCAGAGCGAGGTCTCGTGTGGTCCGCGCTGAATCGTGCGGGTGGTAATGGTGGGTGACCTACATGAGGGGTGAAGAAAAGGGCCCCTTTCTTCACCTCCCATGTGGGTCACCCCCCATTGCCACCCGCCCGAACTCTGCTCGACCCTCCAGGATCTCACGAACGTGGCGACGGTTGCGCAGCTGGCAACGCCCAGGCAACGCCCAGGGAGGCGAGGCATCAGCTGGTCCCCGTGGGCAGGCACCCTGCTGGAACTCCCACGAGCTAGCGAGAGCGGCGACAGGCCGTTGGCACACCCCACGAAGGGCGAGGTCCCGATTGGACCACGCTGGACCACACCCCGCTGGTGACCAGCTATCAGAGCATCCCAACCCAACCCGAAGACCCGAATTTCGGGTTGGGGTGGGAAACGGGTTCCACGTGCTTTTGTCAATGTTCCCCCCCCCCCCTTGGAGGGCAAATCGGGGCCTTCGGGGTTCGGTGGGCGGTGACGAGTGGCCCACGCTGGACTGCACCCCGCTGGAGCTCACGGGAGCTCACGGAGGCGGGGGGACGGCTGCGCAAAGGCAGTGCCAGGGGAGGCGAGGTCTCGTTTGGCCCGCGTTTGACCGCCCCCCGCCGGACCTCCCAGACTCACGAAGGTGGCGGCAGCTGCGCAGTCAGGGAAAGCCGAGGTCTCGCTTGGCCCGCACGGGACGGCCCTCCCCTGAACTCCCTCCCAGGAGCTCGCAGAAAGGGCGACAGCTGCGCAGCCGGTAGCACCCGGGAAGGCGAAGCCTCTGTGCGCGGCCCAGCGGGGGGGCCAGGGACGCAATGAAATAAGAAGAGGCGCCATGAAATCTGGGGAAATATCATGGCCCCCGCCAAGATATCCCCCCCCCTAGCCATCACCCCCCTCTTTGCCGCCCCCGAGCTTGGTGGGCGCCGGACATCAGCCCGCTGGAACTCCCAGGAGCTCCACCGAAGCGGCGACAGCTGCGCGGCTGGCAAGGCCCAGGGAGGCGACGGATCGGCGGGTCCGCGTGGGACGTCACTGCGCCAGGCCCCGCAGGAGTGCACGCAGGTAGCGACAGCCGCGCAGTTGGCCGCCCCCCCGCAGGGCGGGGTCTCGCTTGGTCCCCGCCGAGAGAGGCGGCAGCTGTGCAACCGGCAGCGTGGGACCACCCCCCGCAGGACGCCTCGAGCTCACGAAAGCGGCCACGGTTGCGCACGCCAAGGGAGGCGAGGTCTCGTTTGCCCAGCGTGGAACCGCACTGGGCAGGACCTCCCGAGAGCCCACGGAGGTGGCGACTGTTGCGCTGCTGGCAGCGCTCAGGGAGGGCGAGGGAGAGGAAGCAAGTATGAAGGGAGGAGGAAGCGAGGAGGAAGGGAGGAGACAGGATGAGTGTAGAGTCCAGCAGCGCTCTCTGCAAAACGAGGAACCCACACAGGAGAGTCGTGCAGCAACGTATACCCTTAGCTGTTCGACATACTCGCCTTCTCGGGCTTCAGAACGCCCGAGACCACCCAAGAGACCACCAAGATCGCCCCAAGAATGGCAAAAGGGGCCCAAAAATGAGCCCGAGCGAGTTCCATGACGGCCGAAACCTGGCTCAAGACGGCCGTCACATGACCCGAGAAGTCCCAGGAGAGCTCAAAACAGCCCACGAGAGCCTCAAGACGGCCCGAGAGAGAGAGCCCGAAAAAGGCTCCAGAAAGAGCCTCAAGACAGCCTTCACTCGAGACTCCATGTGCGCACTCCGACGAGTCAGACTGCGACCACATCTTATTGGATTTCGCCTGGGTTTCGCAAGGGCAAGGGGCGGCAGTGTTTTCCCTTGGCGTATTCGATTGATAGGTGGGGTCATTATACGCAGTAGGGTAGGAAAGAGGATGGAGGCTGCGGAAAGGGCCGGCCCATTATTGCACGTTCAACGTCCGCGTGGCCAGAGAGCTCTCCTGTAGTGGAAGACACCTGCCAGCACGGCCTGCGTCGGCTCAACCTCGCAACCGTGACTTGCGGCATGCGTCTTGATGCCGGCTTTGAAACCTGCGACTCTGCGACCGACCCTGAATTCTGCACACGCCGCCGCGGCACTTGTTCCGAACGCGCCCCAGCAGACGAAGCCAGCACCGCGGCAAACCCGCGGCGAGCTCTGTGACCGAGGCGGAGCTTGCCCTGGTGGCCGCGGCGCCCTCCCCGAGGCGTGTCTGAACAAACGGCGCGGCGACAGATGGGCGCCCGCCGACTTCTCGGTGGATCTCTACTACCGCCTTGATGTGTGCGGCGGTCGGCGCTGTGGGGGGCACGCGCCGACGTCGGCCAGGGCCCCGGAGGCCCAGAGGAGGCCGGAAGCCCTCGCGTGCCCCGCCGATGCGCCCCTGCGAGCAGCGCTGGCGTCGACGACCTGCTGCCCGCGCACGCGTGTAGAGCGGTGAGCGAGGGGGACCACGAGGGGGAGCACGGGGGGGAGCATAGAGGGGGAGCAAAGGGGGGGAGCACGGGGGGGGGGGGGGGGGAGCACGAGAGGATCCGGCAGGCGAGGAGGAGCAAGAGGGGGCAACGCGAAGGGAGCAGGGAGGGGAGGGGGGGGGGAGGAGGCGCGGCAGCAGCAGAGGTGGGCAGAGGCGGAGCCCCGAGCGGGAGGGCGGGGGGACAGCCGCTGCTCCGATGGCACGCGCGCGGGCTTGCAAAAACGAAGGATTGCAAAAAAAAACCTCACTTGAACGAAGGATTGCAAAACAACCCTTCGTTTTTGCAATCCTTCGTTTTTGCAATCCTTCGTTCAAGTGGGTTTTTGTTTGAATGCTCGGCGTCGGCGCTCGACTCGCGGGGGCGAGGGGCCGGGGGGGGGGGGCTACGGGGCTCCAGGGCCCCCGCTCGGAGCGCGAGCTCTGGCCGACGGCGGCGCGCTCCACCGAGACGCCGACCTTGGTGGTCCCCAAGCGTGGTGGTGAGAACACCCGGTGGTGAGTTTTGGGCGATTTGGGTAGTGGTTTTCGAGCGCTGGCTGGCCGAGGAAACGCAAAACCTCGTGGCGACCGCGTGTCCCCAAACCCGGTGGCGACCCAGAATTATTTCTTTTGGGAATCGGGGTCACCACCGGGTGTCTCACCACCTGGTTTGGAGACCACCAACGACCGCAACACCCCTGATCTCAAGCCGGGCCTGTCCCCCTACGAAGAATAAAACATGTCCCACAAAAAAACACAAGTAGTCGAACATAGTAAAGAAAAACATCGCCCCTGGACTGTCCTTTGGCCAGTTTTGAATATTCCTCCTGTAGAGGGACACGCCCGACTCAACACTGACGTGAGCTGCGTCGGACGGCGCAGGCATGCTTCCTGTACGCGCCGTGCAGCCGACTGACGGCGCATCGGCAGGGCTCCCGAAAGTGCTGGACAGTCCATGATTGCGCACGGCTGCTGCGATCGGGAGGAGAGAGCCAGGAATCGCCCCTCGCAGCTGATCAGAATGGCACTCTCATGTGGAGAAGTAATGAAACGAAGTGGAAAAGGTGGCAGCGGAGAGCATGCTCCAGAGTCGTGCTGCCAAGTCTGATATCGGACCACTTCACCGGTGGGGGCCGCAGCCTGGGATAAGCTGTGGACTTCAGAGTCACTTCTTCTGAACCACCACGGCACTGCAGGCACGACGAACAAACTAATTACCTATCGGGGTCAAACTCGCCACGATTCGCTGGAGACCCGTCCTCGAGAGACCTCTGGGTGCTCTCAGGACCCATCGTCCTTCCAAGCACGGATGCTTCGCTCCCAAGCAGGCCTCCGTCACGGAGCGCGCGCGGGGTGAAGGAGCAGCGCATTGGGCATCGAGCCTGAAGGTGCCCATTCTCCAACCACGCGCGGCAGCAAACGTCATGGATCAAGGGAAGAAACACGATTCTCATGTAAAACGAAGCCAGGACGAAGATAACATCGGGGGGGATAAAGCGAGAATCTCTGAGATCCCGCGGTTCTGGGATGTCTCGGGCGCCGCGGCCTTCGCAGAACGTTCCCGTTCCAGAACGCTCTGGAATGGATTTATCCTCGTCCTAGCCCCGTCCGACCATGACCGCGATGTCGCGGGATCTTGTCGACGCTGATCTTGAGCAAAATCCACGCTGGCATTCGCCGGCTCGCGAGGAGGATCCACGCACCGACGGTGACCAGAACCGACACCGACGCTTCCGCGTCGAGGATGGGTCATGGCCGTCGCTTTCCCTCCCTCCCATGGAAGACGTGGCCGCAGGGAAGCCTCCCCGCGAGGCAGCCGACCAAGAGCTCGTCCAGGCAAACGGCGCACGCCCGGCCCGGGCACTCCGAGCAGCCGTCCCGGACCACGAAGGAGGCCACGGGCGGCCTCGGCGGGCAGCGGGCCTCCTCCTTCGGAGGGCCCGGAGGCGAGGGCACGCGCCCGAACCACAGGCAGCTCAGCAGGATGTCGGCGAACGCAAACACCAGGCGGGCAAACATCGCCTGCAGAGGCGGGCGGTCTCGGCCTTCGATGAGCGGGGCGCGTCCGCGGGAGAGCCGCCAGCTGGTCATGACGAGCATCTGCGCGAGCAGAACTGCACCCGATACGACGAGCACGAGGGCGATGAGCAACGGGTGCCACTGCCCAGCTGGCTGCCCAAGCCGCTCGCTTGTGCGAGGGGCCGCGATGGCAATGCCGCCCCTGATCGCTTTGATCGGGGCGAGGACCCAGAACGCTATCCGCATGTGCGCCATCTCCCACGTCGGGGTCAGCAGCAGTCTAGAACAGCACCATATCAGAAGCGAGATCGACGTGAGGAGCTCGAACGAGGCCTGGTACATGCAGAGTCTGCACAGCGGCAAGCACGAGAATCCCTGGCGCAGCAGGACTCCGACCGACTGAAGGGGCATGGGAATGTGGCCGCGAGAGC